TGCACATTTAAAATATTATTAAAATTATTTTTCTTTATTTCATTGTGTACCAATGTGTGATTCTTCAAAAACTGAATTAATATAAATATTATTCTGGGTATTTAATATTTCTACGTTTGTATTTATTTCAAAACTTATATTATAGTTATTTTCTAAAACACGTTCAGCGAAATTTCAATTAGGAGCAGTCTTTTAGATACCGATCGTAGCAAGGGATTTATTGGTTTTACTTAGATGTTTATTTTTTCTTTTTTTTTTATCTAGTCTGTGGATTGGTTTTTTCTTAGTAAACTATCTCCGATTTTTAAGTGTAGCAACTTTTCTGAAAGCTCAAGTTGTCTAAAAGGTAATTTTATGTAAATAGGTCATTTTTTTATTTTCGACTCTATTTTTCAAATAATAGTACTTAAGTGGAAGAAACAGTAGGAAAACGTACAACTTCAGGATTTCATTATGTTTTAAATACACGTAGATAATTGAAACATGGTAATAATACTTTTATTGGACTTACCTTAACGTGGGTAAAATTTCCAAAATCGTCGAACGACTTTTTTTTTTAAATAATAGCGTTTTAAAATCAAATTTACATAAAAAAATTTACGGCCTTTTAAATTATGTATTATTGAACTGCACTCGGAATCGTTTTTCGTTAAGTAATGGTTTATTGTTGCTTACAGATATAAATGAAATAACCTTATGTACCTTATGAACCTCGTATCCTACCTTCCCAACTTCTCACGTACAACGGTGGCCATCACCAGTATCAGCTATTTTTTTTCTTAATTTTGTTTCAGAAATGTATTCTTTATAATACTTATTTTAAAATTTCTATATATCTTGTACGTATATAAAATATATTACAGTTACATTTAAGTTTGTATACCAGCGTTTTCAAAAGAAGGGAGATTTTTTGTAAAGTTTTTAGTATTATTGTTTATATTTTTGGTTAAATTATTATTCGTCTTAAAACCAATGATTAAATTATTTAATCATTGTTCAGAATTTTAGTGAATTTTGATATTTAAATACTACAATAGTTAACAAAATTATTTGGTGAGTTGTGTTTCATTTTTCCTTTAAAATACGTTTATAAATTATTTTAATATTATTTAAATTGGAATTATTTCTATAGGCTATATTATAGACAATAATATTGTAGTTATAATAATGATGTACAATGGCTCTCTTTATATTATTATAGGTATCATTTTTTTTTTTTTTTGATAACTGTTTTATTATTTTTCTTACATATTTAAAGAAGTATACTATAATATGAATGATACGTGGGCATAATCGTACAATAGTTTTGATTTTAATTATGGATGTGTTTCTTCGTTTATTACTAAATACATTTTTATTCGATGTTTTTATTTAATATCAAAAATTAACTTGTATCGGTCAAAAAGTATGAAATATAATCGTAAAAAAACAGCTCGTGTTTGTACATAATAAAATTGGTCATTTTTCTCGTGGTCAGTATAATTTTTTTAGAGATTTTTCCGCCAACTCAACATTGTGCAGTATATTTCTGCCGTGAACTTTATCAGTTCATTCGCTCATAAAATCCTTAAAAGGTATGCTTCTACCACGCCAAGCTACTTTTTCCTAAACGTACCGCCGTTCCTTGAGGTTTCTGTTTTAATGCTGCTCTGGCGCAATCTCCCTGTCCTCATCTTATTATATGACCTAGCCAAAGGACGTGTACATATTATAATAATATGCGTACAAGTTAAATTATATTAGATTTAAAAATGTTTTTGTTTAATTTCTTAGTATCATCACAAGTGATGCATTATATAGGTTTTTCTTTTTAGTCTTTTGACGCCCTTTCCAACAAGGCTACTGTATTTTACAACAATACATATCTTATTCTTTTCTTATATCTAATTATACTAGTTTTTTGCTGCCGTCTAAAAATGAGAACGTTATTTTTTAAATTTTTCTTTTTCAAATTTTCGTCGAAAAGAGAGCGAAAACATGATAGAATGTCAACATAATTACAAAATCAAGGTTGTCATTTATTTAATTATGAAAAAGTAAATATAATATATTATGGAATTAAAACCGATATGTGAAAATATTCTTCAGGACTATTACTTTGTTCGTTTATTTTATGAACTTTAATTTAGTAACTGTTTAGATTTTTGGGGAGGACCAGTAGGTTCTTCTTTAACATGTAATTGCGAATTTGAAATCTCAAAACCGCATTATGTAAAATTTCGCACGGAATGAAGGGTTTTGTTTTTAGACAACGGGGACGACCGCGACGTTGACGGAGATTATATAGATACCTATCTACATGAAACGCGGTCGTGTTTAGTACATCTACTTACGAAGACTAGTGAAAGGGGATGTCGAGGGCGGGGAGCAAAAAAAAAAAAAAACAGAAACCTGTAAATATTCTCGTGATTCCTAAACTCCCGTGTATTACGACGCTATTATCCCGGACGAAATAAGATTCCGGGGATTTACATAATATTTACTTTTATGCAAATGGTTGTAACGCGAATAATAATAATTTCTTTACGAAATAATATTTACCAACGGAAATCGTTTCGCCCTGAAAAATAGGTTTTTTTCTCGACAACCATGTGTTTTGTTTTTTCCTGCCTTTAAACGTGATATTGACTAGAATTAATAGCTCCAATGTTGAGAACGAGTTATTATAATGAATTTCAGTACTAAATACCTACGTTAATATTGGTATATTGGAGTGGTAATAATTTAATATTTTTAAATTCTGAGCGAAACGATGAATGTATTAATTTATTAATTGTTGTGCATGTAAACAGTTTTTCTTCAAGATAGCTTAATCCAATCTACACATATTAATGCAATACAGATGTGCTTTTGTTGTAGGTGAAGATTGAAGGTAGTGTACATAATATTATTTGATTTATATCTGTGTGGAACGATTAATTATTGTTGACAAAGATATCAATTGATAATGATGCTTAACATATTTTAGTAAAATAATTAAATAGGCTCTATATATTTTCTTTCGTAATATTTGTTTAATGCTGTACCGATTTCTTTAGTTTCCTACGTTTTTTTGGTTTTCCCATGTTTTTCACAGTTTTTAAAATTTTCTGAGAAAACTCCGAAGCAAATCGAAAACCGACCTCTTTTAAGTACCTGCCTTGTGAAATTTCCTTTTAGAAACATTGCTATTATTAAAATGTGGAGCAAATTTTTTGGTAGAATAGTTATCCACAGAATAAAAAATTGTAATATTATACAAATAAATATATTTGTATAATATTACAGTTATCTTACATTTTTTTTTTTTGTGGTTTTTCGTATATGATGAAAAAATTCTTAGGAAAATCGAAAAATGAGCTCTTTAGGGACTTCCCTATACAGATTTCCTTTCAGAAAAGTTACTACACATAAAAATTGGAATAAGTCTTCTGGTAAAAAAGTTGCCCACAGAAAAAAAATCATCTAAATTTTAAACTATTATGCCTATAACTCATAATCAGTAAATTCGATATTTATTCTATTTTGAAAAAAGGAGGGATTCTATTTGAAAATAAAATTTTATAATCCTTAAGCTATACGAGTTTGGGTAACAAATTGAAATAATGGTAAATTCAATTAAATCCATCGAAAGATTACGGTTTGTATTAATTTATTACTCATAAATATTAATCACGCCCCGTGTAGGAAGTAAATTCTTTGATATACGCTTTCAGAATCGTATTTTCAGTAGTTGCAGGTTAATGTTGCGTTGAACAAATTTCAGCTACAATTGAGATTTTAGTTTTAACGAACGATTACACAACGCAATTATAATATACGAGACAATAATATTATTTTGCGTCCATAACTTCCCGAGTAAGTGTAATAAGAAACTAAAATGGGTTCCACACGTAAGGTACCCGTGTCATCGGGCGAAAATTATATTATATTGATATTTATACACAATAAGAAAATCAAAAACAGATGGCACTTAATAATATTTTATAAAATAAAAATTTTAAATTTTTTTTTTCGATTTTTCTTCAATTCAATAACACTTATTTATAGACTAATATCATATTTTATAGAACCGGAAATGTAATATTAAACATCGTGAATTTATATTTTTTTATTAAATTATGAATAATACGTTTAAAATCGTATGTTATAAATTATAAAATATCATAATTTGTATGATATTACGTTCCTGCTGACTCATTTATATAAACTATATACAATAACGATTATCAAAAACGTTTTCCATCATTACTGCAGTATTCAAACACATTATAACCAAAGGCTTATTTGTGTAGTAATTAAAATATAACGAATTTTCGTTTGAAAAAAAATAAACTAAATATGTGTAATATGTACCTACCTAAAAACAAACCTCCCTTGAGTTATTAAGATATCGAAGAAAATAAATGACGTAATTTTTGTTTTAAACCGGGCGTTCACTAATTATAATTATACTACTTAATAAATAAATAATTTAAAAAAAAAACCATAAATATTGACTGAAAAAAAAAATAAATATATAGCTTGAGAAATTTATCGTCGTGGTATAAGCCGTTGCTGGACGGTTCTGCACTATTTCGAGTATCCCTTGTAATTGTTATAATCTTGATATATTATTTTAAGTTCGTCTAGACGAAATATCAAAAAGCTTCGTGTCCTCTTTCTGGTTAGTGTCGCCCTAGATAATAGTAATAAACAAAAATTAAAAATCTTTTTTCAACACTGAACAAGTTACGATTACAATGACTTTAAACTTGTGTTGAGTTAGGTTGATCAAAAAAAGTTAACGTGTTACGATGTTAAAAACTTATTTATCTCATTAAATTTTAACATTTATAAATAAATTAAGTTAAATGTAAATTTTTAAATGTACAATTAACCAATTCACTCTGACTAATCAGCTCTTTAATGCCCAGCCTTATCATTTTGCATTTTATCAAAAATAAAACACACTTATGTTTAAAATATATTAATAACATAAATAGGTTATAAAAAAAAAAAAAAAAAAAAAAAAAAAAAAACGAAAACGAAACGGTCGACGCGAAAATAGAATAACAAGAGAAAAAAATGCTTCTAGAAAGACCCAGGAAACGATGGACTGATGAGATGAAGAAGATTTTATATGTTTGGTGGTTAAAAACTAGTGAATGGTAGTTCAAGATGAATAGATAAGTGCCAACGTTTAGTTATAGCAGAAGGAGTTGAATACGAGAATCGAAGAAGGAAAAGTCAAAAACCGACTCTCATGACAAAAATAAAATAAAAATTCTTACTCTTTAAAATCTTTATTTATCCATGATTTAGCCCTCGCATAAAAAAAATTACTTTATTCAATTTTTGTTCACACACATACTTATATACAGGTATATATCATCGTTATGCAAATAATAAAATCTCCGTCTCTGTCCTATATAACAATAATTCTGTACTTTCTCACGACTATAATATATGGGCAAGTATACATACCTATACGAATATAATATTTTTATGTTGTCGATATTTATTTCTCGTCGTATATATCTACTTGCAGGTACTAATATTTGCCGTTGTCTTCAAAATACAGTAAACCGCGAGAGATTATATAATATATTATAAACTTGCGTGTCCTTTAAAATGTCTCCGTAACAGAATTGCATATTTTATAGTAATATTATCATAATATCATATATTATACTATATACTGCACATCGTACACATTGCACTCGCGATGCAGCGGCGGAGAACGTTTTTAAGTTTTTGTCGTCTGTGAATTTATTTACATCTTAAGTTGACTCGCGGCCCGATTAATAAATACTGCACCAAATCGAACGAAACAAATCTTTTTCGATTTTATTTAATATATTTTTGTACAAGTACTGATTATTATATATATTTAAAAAAAATGTTATCTCTGCAGTAACAATTTCTTCACGTTTCGTTCGGAAATTACTTAAAACCCGCGCATATTTTTTCATTCGGGTTTACTGTCTATACTTGCAACATTATTATTTGTTTATTTTTCTTTCACCATTTAAATAGTTACGGTACCTTGTATTTTCCTTTTAAAACATAAAAACTCGTTATCTTATACGTCAAAATTGTTTTCCCTCGTGAATAAACAAATAGAATATCATCTTGTTGAGTTAATTAAAATACTGACATTATTAGTTAGCATAACTGATGAAGAAAAAAATATATATTACATTATTAATTTTGTAAATTTTAAATATTGTGTTCATGTCCTTCTTTTTCTCTGCATTTCTAGGCCTCTAAGGACAATCTATTTTACCCTTATCCAAAATCTTTCTCTATCCGTTTCTTTTTCTTTCCAGTTCGAACCTTCACTAAATAATTCCACATAATTTTTTATAACATATTTTGATCTTGTTCGGAAATATTATTTTTTTCAAAGATTCTGTAACGTATTAGCAAATTTTATCAGCTCATTTTGTCTTCTAAAAACACGTGCCGTTAAATAAAATCTTTTTACCGTATATTATTCTTGTACTTAAGAATAAAGTATCTAGTGTTATATTCATTCTCCTACTCATTTTTCTAAATAAACACCATTGATTGCACACGTTTTTTTTTTTTTTTTGGATACTAAGAATATTTCTTATTTCATTTTTGCTAGATCTGTATCCAATAATGTCTATGGAGACGTGATAATCGATTCGATTATCACCCATACAATTACTGCACTTATGTAACATAATATAATTTTTCCGTGTATGTATCACTGATCAACTTTTTTTTTAAAATAATTTTCAAGCAGCCATCATTACTACCGTACTAGTATTTCTTATTGAATTATTTATTTATTTCTTCCTATTTATTATTATCATTATTATTATTATTTTTATTATTATCTTATTTATAATATTATACGTGGCATTTTCTTTTATTATTTTGTGTGTACTTACTCGAAAGTTGTGATCATATTGATTCCGTTTTTTCTATATCTTCTGACATTCTTTTTTGGTATCTACCTCGGTTTTTCTTACTTTATTCATTTGTCATTCGAAATATTTCAGACAAAGAAACAAAATGATGGTTACCGATAAAAAATGATAAAATTTAAATTTAAATAATAAAAAAAAAAAAAATGTAAAATTACAACTGACTAAAATTGTCCACGTTAGATATCTATTGTTTTTCTACCATAGGGTAATTTTAAATTTTTTCCAACATTTATATAATAATAAATCGATTCAATAATATTACGATTAGGTTAATTGTAAATAAATATTTTGTTTTTTATATTATTATTAATGAAGCCGATTTTGTTAAATTAAATAAACTTTGTAATTTTCAATTATTGAATACGAATAAATTGTATAGGAAAAATTGATCACCCGTAAGTATAAATAAATAACAACTAACACTACCTAGTATACAAAATACATTTGAAACAAAAAACTTAATTGTCTATGATCACAAAGTGAATCTGCGCCTTGTATTATTTATCCACGTTGTTTTCCAAAATATCAAAATATATTAAACTTCAAATATACATCGTTTATACCTCAAAGTATGATATGAATATTGTATACGATTCGTGAAGATATACAACGTCTGTAATATTATCGTGCCATCCAACAATTTTACGTATATCGTATAATAATCATTATATTACAAATGGAATAGTGAATATTATGAATGTTTTAAACCACGAATAATGGCTTTTGTTGGATAGTTTAAACGAAGCCACTGGATCAGAGTACAAATTACGAACATATTATAATATTTACAGTATTATTACGTAGGTGGCATCAATGCAACTATATTATAATATTTAATCGAAAAAATATTAAAACATACCCCGAAATTTTCGTGCTTTCCAAAGTAATTATTGTTGCAATATTATAATGATGATGCAATATCATTATTTTCACAGTCTATTGAAATCTTAATAAATTATGCAGACCTATAATTATGAATGCGTTCATTTGTTCAAAGTTCAGAATATATGAATGTAATGTGAATTCATTTTGAATTAACTGTGTATATAATACAGGGACTGTAACCGGACCGAAAATAACGGGTTATAGAACCAAGTATATTGTGTTAATTATGAACCGGAACCTAAATGTTTAACTTCTAACTAATTAACAATTTTTCATCTAATTACCCTTTGATCTGGAGATGGAGCTAAATCAACAATATTTAAACTTAATCAAACTTGTCGGAATTCAGGGATAATTTATATATTTTGCTTGCAATTTTCGTTTCTTACAAGACTCTACGGCTTGTTTTGTAAATTAAAATTTGAAATAAATTTCAATAATCCAGTATTTACAGATATTATTAATTCACAGAAATTTTAACTAGGTTTTCGACAATGTTCGGATATTTATATTTGAATAATACCAAAACGGATTTAGATGCAATTTAACACACGCATGTTACACATTAACAAATACGATACATTTTATCACGGTTATACAATTCTGCGAGATAATTTGCTATGTTTTTTTTTTTTCAAATAAATGTTATCCATATTTCAATAAATTAATTATTACTTTTTGTATCGGCGTAGGAAACATTACGTTTATATCATTAAATCGGTCAGTTTTTAATTAATATTTTAAGTCAAAACAGATTTAATAACTGTACTGACACCTGATAAAAATACAACTGTAAATGCCATAGATAATAAAAGTTTAGTTTCTCTTTAGATTTTTTTTTTAGAGAGATTATCCAGTAGTCACAATCAAGATATTGGTTTCTGTTTAAATAACAATGCAATTAATGATGCTTAAAATTACAAACTGTTAAAGTATCCATGGAATCTTCTAAATATTATGAGCTTTTTATTTTACAAAATCGACGTTCACAATTTAAAACATATTGGCTTAAGCGATATTCGTGTTTAGTTTATTCCAAACATGTAGAAGGTGCATTTTGTAAAATAAGCATATTGTATTCGAATTACTTTTTTGTGTGTGTTCTGTTGATACTTTAACATTCGGCAAAGACTACGACATTTTTGAATTTGTGGTACCAGATAATTCATCTGGCGAAGGTTTATATAGAACAATAATGCGGAAAATTTAAAAACTTAATTTAGAAATATAATATAAGAGCAAGATGAGATCGCAACAATAAGGGGGCTGTTCAAAGATGTTCAAAAATGTATTACAGGTGAGGTGCTATATGCATTATATGTTAATTGCACAGCGCATTCTCTGAACTTGGAAATAAGCTCATGTAAAACAATTTTACTTTAAAGATATTGTATCGGAACAGTTTCTTCAGTTATTACATTTTTTCGGGTTGATTTGCAAGATTACCTTGAAAATTTGATTTCGTGTTATAAAAATACATTTTTCTATGTTGCCCAATTATTTGTTTATGTTATTTTGTTTAATTATTATTTCATTTTATTCATTTCTAAAAGTTCTCTTTAATTCTAAACTTTCTAAAATAATATTAAATATAACATTTAGTAATAGGTTAACCTCAATTCAAAAATGAATGTTACAAAATAAATAATCCTACAATTGAAATTATTTAAACTTCTTGTTATAATAGTATATAAAGTATTATACATACTCTAAACTGTACACATAATATGTAAAATGCTCACAAACGAAGCCAGGTAATATAGCTCAGTATAAATTCCCCTCTGAACTTTACCTATGCAGCTAAATAAATTACTATACAATTATTTATAAAAACTTAATTTTTTTTATATTTGATGTTTTCCGATTCAATAGAATTGTGCTATCTATTAATCAATATTAATTCTTCATGCTTTTTATATTAAAAAATAAAAAAATAATAAATACATTATTCGCTGCACTCAGAATCTAAAAAAAAATAAATTGTTGTAAAATAATTTTGTCAGTTACTAGAAAATCTTTTGATATGGTTGATCGTATACTATGCAATACAGGAAGCGTAAAACACTGTTGTGGAATCGATTTAAAGGATTATTATACCATAGAACGTTTAAGTCATCTTATCGTTATCTTTCAAACAGAATCAGACAAGTATAAATGTATCACGTAAAAAGTACTATACCTACGCTTACCTAATTCAATATAACTGCTACATAATTGACATACCAAAAGGGACATTTTTAGTCTCAATAATACATAATAAGTTTAAATAGTTTAAACTAATAATCATTTCAATACATCTATAAAGCCTACTAACACAGAAACTAATGAAATATATAATCTTACACAATTTTGTATGTAATCGACAAATTGGGAAAATTCTCTATTTTTTTAAAAATCTAATTTAATTTAAAATATCTTAAAAAGAAAATAAATAACTTAATATATGAAGTTAATTTTAAAATATAAATGATTTTGAGTAATTTAGTCACAAATGTCCAAGAGAATAATATTATGTACTTATATGTAGTTATATGATAAAATAATTGTTTAAAATTGCACTTATAATTGTATTCTTACCTACGCATAGCATTAAAAATGACCAAATGAGAACGAGACTCACTTGGGTTTTGTGGGCAAATTT